GCTGTCCATGCCAAAATGCTTCCATTTCTTACTGGTCTTTGAAACACTGATACTTTATATTCTTGAGCCACTGTTTTTATCTCAATAATCTTTATCTCAATTACCATTTTGTATTTATGCTGTCATAATAACAAATCTCTTGTTTAAACAAGAAATCACTTTACCTGATGAATTTCATAAAGCTGTCTTATTCTGATATTTTGGTGATCCTTCCCAGCAGGTATGGGTAGTGTGTGCATGTGTATAGATACATCTTTTTGAGGCATTCATTTGTTAACTTTAGAAATGCCTTCAGGTTAGAGGTGTATGTTCAGATTGTTTGGATAGTGGCTGTGTGCTTTCAGGGTCTGTGAGGGGAAGATGGTAGATTACTTGACTCTTGGAAAGTATCCAGTAAAAACTTGAACCTTTTCCAGGAGAATAAGCTTTTGATGTGCTGGCTATAACAAGAGAGTATTAGAAGCTAATTTCTTATTGTGTTTATTTTCATATTTTGCTTTAAATTTGATCTCTTAAGATGTATGGGGATAAGAATTAAATAAAGCATCAATATTTATAATTCCAGTTGTAAAAATCAGTGATACTCAGGTAAGTATCTTTCGCAAAGCCTTTTTATTCACTTCTTAGACATGGCTTTGGGAATTATTTTTTTTCCTTTTTACTGTAGACTATGTAGGAGAATATTGAGAGTTTAAAAAACAAGAACAGATAAGTCGCAACTATACTCTATTTGATATATATTAATAAGTCTCAAAATTTTAATATAGATTTTAATAACAAACTATCTTCTTAAATTTATTACCAAAAATAGTTTTCTTTTTTGACTTCTTTCTGACTACTGGTTTTACCCTTGCTCTCATATTTTTATTCTTCGAATAGTTTTTAAAAACTTTGAAACCTAACAGCATTGTGTATTTCTTGGTAACTGAAGGAATTTGGGGTGTTTGTAGTAGCTGTTTTCTTTAAATAGTTCTCGAAAACTTACAGCAAAATATAGCCTGGTGTACTGCCTTTGCAAATTTTCACCCATTATGAAAATGCATACTTGATTTCATGCATAGTGCATTCAGATATGCTAGGACTGTGGAAAGCTAACAGCATTGTAAGGGTTCACAAATGACATGACTAAGAATAGCAAATTAAAGAGGAGATGGAGAAGTGGGAAGTGAAAGCATTACAGCAACATCAAAAAATTACGTGATTGCTCAATTGGCTCATTTTCAGGCTTTCCTTGCAGGTTTTTAAATTTTAAATTTTTATGAAACTCCCCTATGAGGAAAGGTTGAGGGAACTGGGCTTGTTTAGCTTGGAGAAGAGAAGGCTGCAGGGAGACCCCATTGTGGCCTTCCAGTACTTGAAAGGAACATGTAAACAGGAGGGGGAGTGGCTGTTTACGAGGGCGGATGGTGATAGAAAAAGGGGGAATGGTCTTAAATTGAGACAGGGGAGGTTTAGGTTAGATATTAGGAGGAAGTTTTTCACACACAGGGTGGTGATGCATTGAAACAGGTTGCTTAAAGAGGTTGTGGATGCCCCATCCCTGGAGGCATTCAAGGCCAGGCTGGATGTGGCTCTGGGCAGCCTGGTCTGCTGGTTGGCGACCCTGCACATAGCAGGGGGGTTGAAAGTACATGATCTTTGAGGCCCTTTTCAACACAGGCCATTCTGTTATTCTATTATTCTGTGTTGCAATGATCTAAATTCACTGTACTGGAGAAATGAATGTAAACAACTATCTCTGTTGGAATGTTTCTGTGTGGGGAGCATATCTGTCACTTCTTTTACTCCTCTGTATCTTTGGCTTTTTGAGGGAGAGAGAGCAGCCCATGTCTTTTTCTTATCGTGTTGTGGTGCTAATGTGATGCCCAGTGGATAAGGAATTGCCTGTGTTTCTCTAGCTTTCTTGTAACCAAGCAGCTATAGACAGGCCATCCTGGAAGTTAATGTTCACTGGTGACACTGATGGGGAGTGAAAAAGCAAAACTAAACTGTGAGTGCTGTGGGCTTTTGAACATAGTAACAGATGTCAAAGGTCTGGAAATGGCAGCTGAGAAGGTTCTGCCATTTTCTGTCTTTGCCTTCCTGAGTATGCTTATTGGAAAACGGGGCTTAATTAGATGATCATTTATGGTTGTTTTTTTTTTTCCTTTTTTTTATTTGACATGTTTACTGCCAACTTTGTCCTCGCATTGTATTCTTAGAGCAAAATACACCTAGCATTTTCACTTTTTTTTTTTTTTTTTTTTTTTTTTTTTTTTTTTTTTT